TTTGTGTGAACTTTTGTCCTAAAAGAACCTCTCATTTCACTTTATTTATTTACTCAAATTTAATCTTACAATTCATAATATATCACTATAGTTTAATAAATTAAAAAGAAAGCACCAGTGGTGATATCCGGCTTTCACTCTTGCTATGTAGTAACTGAGATGGTTTCAATAGGGTGAACACTCCATGGAGCATCACAGAACCCAATTCTAAAGTGACCCCCACCAATTTAAACAATGAATTGGTTAGAAAATTTAATAAATAACTGCTTAAATAATTTAAGTGGTAATAGAAAAACAACCGTAGAATTGGAAGGTACCTTAGAGATCTTTTAGTCCTACAGTTTACTGCAGGATTCAGTTGAACATCTCTGACAGATGATCATCCACCCTAAATTTGAAAACTAGTACAAGTACAGTAGTCCTTAACTTACAATTGTTCATTTAATGACAGTTCAAAGTTATAATGGCCTCAGAAAAAGTGATTTACAGCTTGTCTCGCACTTACAACTATTGGTCACATGATCACAATTCAGACACTTGGCAACTGACTTGTATTTACAACTGGTTGTAATATACTGCGGTCATGTAATTAAAATTTGCAAGCTTTCCAACTGGTTTCCAGCAAACAATGTCAACAGAGAAAGTTGGATTTGCTTAACAACTGCCTGATTTAATGACCTCAGTAAGAATGGCCATAAAATGAGGTCTGGTAACATAATGACTTTCTTTATCACCACAACAAATTACCATGGGAATTCAGGTCCCAATTGCGGTCCTAACTTGAAAACTACCTGTAAAAGGGAACTCAACATTTTATATAGCAGTCTGTTCTACTACTGGCTGACAACTTGCCTGACAGGAAGTTCCTCCTGATGAGCTTGGCCTACTTCCCAAGTAGTTTTGATGCAAGATCTATTCTGATCTTTGGCTTCTGGGATAATAGAAAATAAACCCAATCCGGCATTGTTTTTCTCTTGGAGAAAATGTGATGTGATCTGAGGGTGCCACAGTTAGCATTCTTGGACTGCTATTGGAGCTTATTGGAGCCTCTTCTCTCTCCAGGAGTGAGGTATCTGTTTGTTTGATAAATCTGTCTGAAGCATGTAAGAGCTCTCCTCAGTTTCCACAGGGTGCTTGGGGTTTCTCCTAAAATCCTGGAGGCAACTCTGCTGAAGATTTGGTTGCCTGCTGGAATTGGGAAATGGCTATAGCATGGGCTAGGAATTGTACTTGAGTAGCCTCTCATTGTTTGTTGAACCAGAGAAATTTCTTTGCTCAGTGAGAAACTCTGAGAGTTGAAGCAACAAAGAGGTTGTCTAGAGTGGTCCTCATGAAAAGAGTGAGTCTAACCAAACACAGAAAAAACATCAAGTTTCAGCCTACAGCATGGCAACAAAAGTGGCAACATGGCAAAATCTCTTTTACGTGTTCAGTGTCTCTTTCTGAAGTAACTTGAACCCTTCCGGAAAGAGTGGGCCAAAAAAGCATTTACTGGGACAGTATGAATAATTTGCATTGCATTTTGAGTTAGATGCCTGCTGGTCAGGTTCAACAGAGGTAATGGAATTCTGTAAATCCACCTTACTATAAAATTGAAAAATTCTAGAATCCTTGCCATGCCTTTTTCTTGACCTGGCCTATCCTGAAGGGCTGATATTAATCTTGAAAGCTGAAGAAGTGTTCCAGTTTATGGAACTAAACAAAATCAATGTGACATTATTTTGAGTTTCTTTCTCATGCTTCCTTCTGTTTTAAAACTGTAATCTGTTCTCCAAATCCCCACCAAAAAGCTCTCTCCTACATTCCCCTGAGACAGCGCAGCATTTCTTTACATGGGAGACAGCTGCAATCAGGAGGAGGAAAAATCTTCCTTCTAAGGACTTACAATAGGTGATTGGCCTTTACTGAGAACATTGATCCTTGAATAGTGATGAATAAGAAGGGTTTTTAAAATCACTGTAATCATGAAGTAGACATTCACTAGTTGGGAAAAAGATAATAATCTGTCATAATTATGACAGTTCTACACAAAGTGTTAAATTGCAGACATCATCCAAACAAGAAAAATTTGCATGGTCAAATCTACGTTTTTTTCCTATTGTAATATATGGCTGTGAAAGTTGGAGGATGAGGAAGTCTAAACAAAGAAAATGGATGTGTTGGCATTGCAGTGCTAGAGAAAATGGTTGAGAATACTTTGGCCACAAGAATAAATAATTCAGTACTAAATGGCTCACTAGAAATCACTAAAAAACCTAGGGATGCTACAGCTTAAATGTTTTGAACATAATGACAAGTCACTGGAGAAGCCCCTACTGCTTGGAAATACTGAAGGCATTCAAAATGGGCCTAGGAGAAGAAGGCAAAATGAAAACTCAAAGATGTAGTTACTGATAGACCAACCTGGATGAATTATGTCCACTGTATCACCAAGGTTTGGAAGCAACTGAATGATTGAACAGCAAGAGTAGCAATTCAAAGTAATTCCCTGAACTCACCACATGGCCATCTTGATATTATTCAGCATTTGCTCTCATAACTTTAAGCCATCGTAGGGAGTGAAGAGGGATACTGAAAATTGTTTTCTTTAACATTGGGAGCTACATAGGTGGTCCATATCTGATCTAGAATGCTTGAAATACTCCAGAGTTATTAACTTGGTAGCTTTGGCAATCTGACTTTGTAACATCTTTGTAAAATAGAGACATTTCCCCCTTCCTTATAAAAACAAGAATCAAGGCAAAGGAGGAGAAATAACACTATCTGACTATGAGATGTGAAAGGAAGTTGCTCTTTTGCACAATCCATATAACATATTTAATACATCGCTATGCAATATTGCAATGACAAATTTTTCATCCTATGAAACCTGCCACGGATTGTTTCCTATGCTTCCTAAAAGGCATTTCCAAGTTCATGTCGATGTACCTTTAAATTCAGTGGTTAAAAGCAAAATAAATTGCATGCCAAGACTGTTCTGTTTGTGACTTTCCTGGAAATATCTGGCATGGAAATATTTCTTGGAATTCTTGGAAATAGTATGTTGGATCAGGCAGTGAACATGTGCACACAGAACTTGTCAAATCACATCATGAACCAACCTATTACTTCACTAGTGTACTTCATTCCTTCTGTAAGCACTGAGATCACAGGCCTCTGATCAGAAACTGTTATCCTAAATTCTTCCTACAGAACTGAGAATAAAACTTATTTGAAGTAAGCCTCGAGACATAAATGTAGAGAAATTAAATAACAATAAGTAAGAAAATTTGAAAAAAAAAATCACTATTTAACTAGTTGTAATATTTGTTTTCCCTCTCTATATACCCTGTTTCCCCCAAAACAAGACATCCCCTGATAATAAGCCCAACTGGACTTTTGAGCGCATGGCAATAAGGCCAAGCGCTTATTTCAGGGTTCAAAAAAATATAAGACAGGGTCTTATTTTCGGGGGAATATGGTATTTGCCATTGAGAGCCTGAATTTAGTCTATGGAATAGGCTGGCCTTGTTTTGTTGCCTAAGATGACTCAATTGATTTGCCACATAGTTCTTGCCTAAATCAGCAACATCTGATGCATCTGCTCTGTTGTGGTTATTTGCAAACCTCAAGATTGGTGAAGGCAGCAAAATTGTTCAAAAGCAAAATTTCTTGCTTGCTTAAACTGCCTTTCCGCAAAATTAAGCATGGGTCATCAATTGTTCAACTAAGCACATGCAGCTAAAATGCACTACCCCCCTCCCTTTCACACACACAGACACAGAATGGCATTAACAAAAGAAGAATGTAGTAACTTAGCAGATCACCAAGGCTAAGATTGTTTTCTCAACTTTGGAGTACACATCAAGGCATGCAAATTATACATTCAAACAAAGCATAAGCATATTTCAAAATCTTGATACAAAGTGATATTTCACTTAAAGTTATGACACTATTTTTTTTAAATCACATGCTGTTATTGCATTGGCAATAGTGTTGAATCAACACTGACTCCTACATATGGAAATCGCTATTTAATTAAGGGAGGCCAACATTTTCATCCCAGAAACCACTATTCCAAAAGAGTTTTTCAACAAACTCTGAGCACGCTGAAACAATGAGAAGGGGAAGGAAAACAAGTCAATGAAATGAGCTTATAGGGAAAGTATTTTTGCCTTGAGGGACATTTTCAAGCAAAATGGATGCCACTGATACTTACAAAAATGAATAAAAACAACACTAAAAAGTTAACTTGGACTTTTATACACATCTTTCCATAAATATTTAAAATGCTTATATAAAAACAAAGCAAACAAAATCAGAGATAAGTAACACCTCCCTTTCTTAGGCTATTTTTTTTTTACTTTAAGAACCTGTTCTTCACTTGTTCTGATTTGAGTTTTTTTAAAAAAAAAAAACCTGTAGGATTTTATTATCCCTGCATTGCATTTTGTACTGTAAGGCATTAGAGTTTGATGCTATTTAAGGGTTTGTTTCTTGAAAAAATGCTTCTATTTATTGTACTGTTGCTTCTATTGATGTTTCATTTTCATAAGCTAAATTTTAAAATAGAACATCAGATTACATACATTTTAAGTATTAATAAATAAATCCTACAAAATGACTAAAAACTGCTACTCCCAATCATGATGCCTGATACTGTACATTACTATATTTCTACAATTAAATTTCTCTTAACACTAGAGTTCTGGAATACTGTATTCCTTTCCAGAAAGAAAACTGAAGCCCAATTTTAGTAATAATAACAAATTCTTGTTTCTCTTGCCATTCCCATCCTCATGTCACACGTGAGAGCAAAGAACATACTTTTTTTTCATTGACATAGCTTTGTAAGACTCCACTGAAAATTTTATAGTAAAGAAAAGGCACTGAACAAAAGTAGTGTGGATGACAAGCAAGAGAAGGAGCTGCCACTTCACTTATGAACAAGAGCCAGATGGAAAGGACAGACACAGGAACAGGATATTTTTGCTCGCGAAAGGTGCCGCACAGCTGCTTACCTATTTGGTCTTCCGGAATCAGAGATTCAATGGGAGGATCCAGTTCAGAACTCTGAGATAAATAGCTCTTTACTTGGGTCATGAACTGCCGAATAGTTTGAAGCATGTCTGTGCTGGAAACATGACACTCCTTGTTCTCCTGTAGAAAACTTATATAGTCCTGAACTAGGCAACCAAAATAAGTACGCTTGTCTCGAGACATTTCTGCTATTTTCTTAACCATCCTTTTCTCAGGGGTCATGAAGGAACTGAAGACGCCACTCATTTTCCTCAGCTGGGATTTGACAATTTTGGGAAGCACAAATGAACCATTCCTTTTTTTCTTGGGCTTCAAGGGTGGTGCCATGCTCTCCTGGTCGCTTTCCCCCTCGAACTCTTCCAGGCTGCTGTTGGTATCCCCATCGTAAGCAAAGAGCGGCATGCTCCGATCAAAATCCAGAGAATCAGAGGAGGATGTGGACAGGCTCATGTTGCTTAGTCTTTGCCTGCCTCCATTCCACTGCACTTGTGACTCACGGTGTGTAGCTAAGCTGTTTTTGCTCTCCAAGTTCTGCTGAGGCGGAGCTCCACCTGGAATGCTGGCAGTTTCTGTGCCATCCACCAAATTGTGGCTGGGTTCATTTACTGCTGAGTTCTTCGCATTGCTCTGTGCTAAAGAGAGAGCCTTTTTTTTCAGGCGAGGCGGTGGGATAGGAGTTGGCCTCTTCTGTATCACATCCAAATTGGAGTGTTTGCTGTGACTGACAGTTTCTGGCAGACTGGCCTGGTTTGTAGTCCTGGACAGCTGAGGGTGTGCAAGAAGGCTATGAATAGAAGGTGGGGGAGGCCTGGGTGGGGGAGAACAGGATCTCTCAGGGCCATTCACATCTTGTGCTTTTGGACCTGATCTTTTCAGATTTCCACCAACATCTTGGCTGTGCACTTTCAAGAAGAGAGGATTAATAAAACACAGGGCTCCGTTGGTCTGGCTGCATTCCAGCTCTGAAGGCGTTCTGGTTCTTATAGAATGAACTCCATTTATGAGGCAGAGCTGCTGGGAGCTTTTATAAATGCTGTCTGAAGGCAGAGGCTTCTGGAGGGCTGAAGATTTTTGCAGTTTGTTGTTAGCTGGAGAGCTCCAAAAATCTGAAAGTCATTATTTAGTTAGCAAAAGAATGCAAATATTATGCCTCTAGTGCTTAGAATGTTCTACTCAAAATGTTTTGCTCTAAAAGGGGGGGGGTGTTATTTTATAGGATCAGCTTGAAACCTTTGGGTCCTGGAGTTGAAAAAAGGAAATATACATACCAGTCAAGTACAAGGTACAGTTTACCAGGGTTACCTACTACACAAGCTTAGTTCATTTCAAGAATAACTCTGCACTACTATACCCCATCAGTTAGTTCCAAATATTTTCTAATTGTAACTCAGATATGCTGGTGTTGCTTGACATTAATTCTAATGATCTGTCTTGTTGTTTCCTAAAAACACAGAAGAAGAGGTACTTCTGGAAATCCTCTCTGTCAGACAGAACACTGCCTTGAATGCAGTGTGCCAGGCTTTCTAAGAAGTAAACTGCCTTTGCCTTCATCAATGCCAACAGCAGTTTTAAAAAAGGCCATTTTCTAAATCTGATCCTCTGTGATAAAATTTTTAGTGGCTTAATGCAGACATTATGCCAAACATGGCTTAATTCAAATATTATGCCAAACTGTGGTTTATGTCTCCAGATAATTAGGTTTAGAGTGGCATACTTATTTTAGATTTCTGTATGCTAAGCTAGACCATGGCTAACGGCAAGAAGGACTAGAACTGGCGGTAGAGAAAGTATCCAAGTTCAAATTTTAATATGAATGTGAAGTTCATTTTGCTTCCTAAAGCAGAAGGAGGGAACTATATAACCTACTTGAAGCACAGGCAGAATACAAATATAACAAATCATCAAAATTATAAACACTGGGTCCCATAACTCCAGAAGTAGAAAAATTGTGTTTTAAAAATTAGCTTGTCACAATGCCATAACTGAACTTTTGGCTTTAAATTCTGAGGTGGATTAATTCCATAACTTCTATGGGACTGCTTCTATGACTCAAACTAATATTTAGAGACCTCATTTTTTTCAGGCAAAAATAGCTAAAACATGCTTCCAGGCCACATGACAGTTTCAGACTTAGGAGAGAAAGTTTAACCCTTCTGCACCACTCATTTCTGTATTCTTCCCTACCCAGCATGCCGTTTTCCTAATCTGAATGCCTTTTTCTAAATATGCTTCTCTCATGAAGAGAAACAGATACTCACTTGATACCAATGTTTCTTCTGTATGACAAGAAGCAATTGATGTGTGTGTGGGTTGAATTACAAAAGTGACATGCAGGAAAATATTCAAAACAGAAGTACCCAATATTTCGGGGCTATTGGGATATATAGAATTTTGGGAGCATTTTAAGCACACTCACAAAATAGTTGACATAATAAATGCAGCCAATCATAAAACAGTCTTAACTCAGAAGGAGAACAAAACACTGTACCAACAATGTTATACTCTAAAATATATCTGTATTGGTCTAAGTGAAAATACAACTTGAGGTTGATGGTTTTCTTTGCAGCATTCCTATTTCCCATTGTTTGTTTTTATTAGTGAAATTCAATAAATTAATGCAAAAAAATTTGAGGGAGATTAGATGCAAAGCCAAGGAATGCATTATGGGCAAACTACCGCCACATTAGAAACTAGAAATTTAAATCATTTTTTCCTGATGCCACAGCTGCAACTTAACTCTGCCCTTCCCTCCCACCATTGTCTGCTTTTACTTACTCAATCCCAGCTGAGCAGCCTCTTCAAGTTCAGACTCTGTTGTTGCTGCTGCAATTGCCTGAGGTAACTTCAAGGTGAATGGCAGGACATCCCTTATTTGGAAACAATTAAGACATTAACTTGCTTTACTCTTCTGCATCTCGCCTCTTAATGTCAGCAACAATCTCATATGTTTTCCTCAAAACAAAAATACTTTCTGTTGCCACTTCCTCACAATGTCCTTATTAGATAGTTCAGAATAAACTTGTATATTGAATAATTCAGAATTTTCCACTTTTTGTTTACAATTAGAGTGATCAGATTGCAAGTTAAACAAACTTAAACATCATGAAATTGGTTCTCAACTGGAGATTTTAAGAAGGATCTTAAAGGCATTTGAATTGTTGCTCAGTTGCAGTATAAGTGTAATACACATATTTCATTTGTTCAGACCACAAACTTTTTTTGGAGAAATTTAGTGAATCACTGCAAGGCAAATATAATTGACAAAGCAGAAACAGCTAGGTTTTGTATGCAAGAAACCCTCTGGTCAGCCTCCGCATCAGGGGTGGGTTTTAAATTTTTTTACTACCGGTTATGTGGGCGTGGCTTATTTTGTGGGCATGGTTTGATGGTCATGTGACAATTCTTTAGGATTTAGCAAAGGTACTGATCTACCAGGCTTTTAACTGCTTGTAGAGCTGTATGGTCTACCCATTTGTTTTTGAAGCGCACTGGTCTACCACCACACTGCCTTTTACCGTTGATCAGCTGTAGGGCGGCCCTTTGAAGCACTGCGACAAGAGTTTAAACAGTTTTTTGACACTCTGCCACCACCAAGAGCATTGGAAACCGCTTTCAGGCAGCTTGGCCTCAATTGCCAATCTACCACCACCGAGCAGTTTACAAGGTGCGGATCGGTTCTAGCTGATCAGTTGGGAGGCTTCTTGGCTTCTCAATTTAAAGCTATGGTGTCTTGTTTTTTTTCTCTCTTTTTTGTCAAGTGCGCCCTGATTTTTTCCTTCTAGCCGATCAGCTGGGACTTGGGAGGCAGTGAATAGATTGGGGGCAGGGCCAGACAGAGGTGGTATTTACTGGTTCTCCAAACTACTCAAAATTTCCACTACCGATTCGCAAGAACCGGGGAGAACCGGTAGCAACCCAGCACTGCTCCACATCCTACATAACTGATCTCAGGTGCAAGAGTTAGGATAAAAGTTGGATGAAGAACTGAGTAAGCTGTAATTAAATAATTCCAAAATAGATTAGGACGCAAACCTTTTTTCGGACTGAGCACTGAGCTTGCCCTCTTGAAGTTAGGCATTTGTCAGGCTGGGGCAATGTCAACTAGCAAAATACAATTTATTTATTTTAAATGGATATAGCTACTGATTATTCCTATACATTTTATAAATTTCCTACTTTCATATTAAAAACTATACCTAGAAGACCACTTCTAAAGGGCTCTGGGTATTAACCCCTGGATATAGATACTGGACACTTGGACCAGATAGATTACATATATTTTTAATTTTATGATAGAAAACATTTAATTTACAAGGTGAGGCAAATTATCAACATTTTGGTGGTACTTGTGAAGTATTTACTGGTATTTCACCCAATTTTTGCAATTAGGAAACCCATTAATAGATGGATATTTATTACCCAATGAATTTCAAACTAATCCAATATGATCAGGTTTCAAATACAATATATCGTGTACACTGCTACGAGATGAGTACTTCTAGACAAATTTTTCTTCAGTAAGAAATGTGTAAAACTGAAATATGTCACTTCCTAAAAGTTTTCCCTCATTTAGTGTACAGTATTAAGCAATGTAAGCAACTATATGCAAAACACTTATACTGAAATCCTAGAGACTTGGTGGAAATTATTATTTTTTTATTTTGTTTTGTTTGGTCTTGAACACGCAGGCTTCAGAGAAAGCAAAGTTATAAAACCACACAGATTGAGACCGAGTCACTTACTGGATAATATAGTAAAACCAAGATCATCTGTATATGCTATATCAATGATGGCTAACCTCTTTGCCGTTGCATGCCCAAAGCGGGGGGAGCGCGGGGAGGTTGCCCACGTGTGTGCCCACACCCATAATTCAATAGGCCCTGCCCCTGCGCATGTGCGCATGTGCCCCCCCCATTTTTAGCACATGATGGCACGGTGGGCCCGGTAGTCCCGTTTTTCACCCTCCCCAGACTCCAGAAGCTTTCTAGGAGCCTGGGGAGGACGAAAACAGCCTTCCCCACTCCCCCGGAGGCCCTCCGGAGGCCGGAAACAGCCCATTTCCCAACTTCCGGTGGGATCGAAAAGCCCAAAAATCAGCTGGACAGTGCACACATGCGTGCTGGAGCTGAGCTACGGCAACGCTTGCGTGCCCACTGATATGGCTCTGTGTGCCACCTGTGGCACCCGTGCCATAGGTTCACCATCACGGTGCTATAATTTATTGATGTTATGCATGCCTTCAAAAGTATCTCCATAAAGAAACTATGGAAAGTTTTGAGACACATCAACTGACTTAACGTCATGTATAAAGCGCATGAAAATACTAAACTGAAAAAAACGGGCAATTCTTTGAGCCTGTCCCTACCATAAAAGGAGTCAAACAAAGCTGCATTATTCCTCCTTCATTATTTGATTTTTATACAAACTCCATTACCAATTGCCTTAAAAAACAGAACTCCACACACTGAACATTACAGGAAGCACGCACCAGTGTGACTTTACAAAGATGAGGCACTGCTCTTGTCACTGAATGTAATAGGACTAAAGGGGAAGGAGGGAGGGTCTTTCGTTTTTTATGCCTCTTTTCTGTTTGCATCACCATTTAACTAAGCAGCAACAAAGCAAGGATTATGGTGCTCTTAAAAAGACTCCAGAGACTCAAAGAAGCAGTGGAACCAGTAGGCCCTTTTTCTAAACGAGGGGTGTAAGCAAATATATTCTTGTTGCCATTAAACTCTTTGAACCCAACTTCTAACCCAACTTACTTCCCCAAAATTTGGCGTAGAGTTAGAGTAGGAAAGCAAGCAACTCTGCTTGAGTCCAAGGTTTCTAGATTTTTTAAACATAATTTTTATTGAAAAAAGTTAGATAAAAGATTAACATGAAAATACAGAAAGTTAGAGAAAGACAAAAGATAAAATAAAAAAATGAAGCAATAAATATAATATAATAAAAAATATAATAAAAGAAGCAACCTCTGCCCCCTCATTCAAATTATGTTACAAAGATCCCTTGTGTCTCATATTCAAATCCTTTACAATGAATAATCTATAAATCACTATTTCACCTTCTTTCACTTTCAGTAAAAATTCCATAAAAGTTCCAGGCTTTTACAAAAAAGTATTTATTGTTTTATCCCTGACCAAACAGGTCAGTTTTGCCATTTCTGCTAATGTTGTCATCTTTACAATCTATTCCTCCATTATGGGTATTTCAATATTTCTCTGGTTTCTAGAAAAAAAAAAATCTCTAAGTGGCAACACTGCGCCTGGAATTAAGCCTGCTCAAGGTTGAAACTAGTGTCCAGGTCAGGATAGGTAATGTCTGGCGAAAGCTGAATTTGCTACCAGAAGGCTTGGGCTTGCTGATATTGGCAGAATTCTATGTATCTAAAAGTTAGGGTAGAGCAGAAAATGGCACAATGTCGGCTTTTATGGATTTTCCAATGTTTTGGAGGATGGGATATGGTCACCTAGGAAACACCTAGGATTGAAAATACTATGGATAGGCAGGAAGATTAAAGCAGCATTTCAGCAAGCATATTATCTAGTCAGTGCATACCACATAAGCCACCTACTATTTAAACAGCACAGTCTGCCAAAGTAACACACCCTTTTCACTCTTGCTCATTTTGCCATTTTCCCATCAGTTATCCTTGAGGGCAGATATAAGGCCACACTTAAGACCAGTGGTGGGATTCAGCCAGTTCGCACCACTTCGGGAGAACCAGTTGTTAACTTTCTGAACAGTTTGGTGAACTGGTTGTTGGAAGAAATCATTAGAGCAGAGAACCGGTTGTTAAATTATTTGAATCCCACCACTGATTAAGACTACTGCATCTAGTTTTGATCATTGTGTTATAAAAAGATTTAAAGACTTAAGAAACAGTGCTGAAAAGAGCAACAAAGATGATTAGGGGGATGGAAGCTAAAACATATGAAGAATGGTTGCATGAATTGGATTTGTCTAGTCTGGTGAAAAGGTCTAGGGATGACATGATAGTGGTGTTTCAATATTTGAGGGGCTGCCACAAAGAAGAATGGATCAACATATTTTTCAAAGCTCCAGAAGGCAAGACAAGAAACAATGGAGAGAAACTAATCAAAGAGAGAAGCAACCTAGAATGAAGGAGAAATTTCTTAACAGTGAAAACAATTAACCAATGGAACAGCTTGCCTTCAGAAGCTATGGATGCTCAAACACTGGAGGCTTTTAAGAAGAAAGTAGACAGTCACTTGTCTGGAATAGTATAGGGCCGTGATGGTGAACCTATGGCACGCGTGCCACAGGTGGCACGCGGAGCCATATTAGTGGGCACGCCAGGTCAGCTCTGGGGCGCATGCGCGCGCCGGCCAGCTGATTTTCGGGCCTTCTGGGCCCACCAGAAGCAGGGAAACAGTCTGTTTCCTGCCTCTGGAGGGCCTGGGGTGGTGGGGAAGGCCCGTTTTTCTTTCTTTCCTGGCTCCAGATCCTCTCTGTGTATCTGGGAACGGCGAAAACAGCCTTTCCCACTCCCTTGGAGGCCCTACAGAGGCTCAAAGTGCCCATTTCCCCACTCCCGGTGGGACAGGAAGTGACTTTTTTCCTGTCCCCAGCCTCCAGAGACTCCTAGAGAGGCTCCTACAGACTCCTAGAGAGGCTCCTACAGACTCCTAGAGAGGTTCTGGAGGCTGGGGACAGCAAAAAATGTCACTTCCTGTCTCACCCGGAGTTGGGAAATGGGCCTTTTCAGCCTCCGTAGGGCCTCCAAGGGAGTGGGAAAGGCTGTTTTCACTGTTCCCAGATACACAAAGAGGATCTGGAACCAGGTAAGAAAGAAAAACAGGCCTACCAGGCCATCATGTGCCAGGAGCGGGGGGGGGAGGGGGGAGCGCACACATGCGCGTGGGCACGTGCGCGTGTGACCCTCCCCCGCCCCCCTCTCCTGGCACGTGATGGCAAAAAGGTTAGCCATCAATGGTATAGGGTCTCCTGTTTGAGCAGGGGTTGGACTAGAAGACCTCCAAGGTCTCTTCCAATTCTGTTATTCTGTTAAAAATTCCACAAAAGGAAAGCTTTGGGCCATGCAGGCAAGGGCCATTAGAAACTCTTGGCCATGCTCTTCTGCAATATTGTATTGCCTGCACACAGAATTTTGCTAGTTCTTTGATAAATAAAAAAACATTTTAAAAAATATTTACTCTACAAATTACCTGGCAAGTGGCAAAAAACTATTTAATTGCCTGCCAAATATCGAGATCTCTTTAGGAGCATCAAATTCATTTTGCAATGTTTAATATATTATAATACTGAAGTTACAAGAACTGAGCAAAGGCACTGGCTTGTAATCTTAATAACAAAATACCTTATAATGAGTTTTAAAATGAAATATTTTAGTGTTTCACATTGTTAATAACATATGCAAACCATGGCATATTAAATTGTTTTAATTATATTATTGTATTAGTTAAGACATGTTAAAGATATGTCAATCTAGCAGTAGCTAGTCTATCAAATTAGGTTAATACCTTATACCACGTAAGTATTTTAATTTCTGTTTCCTTTATCTACTGCTTTCTTATGAACTTAGTACTTTACTTAGTATTTACTGTTATTATCCATTTTAAATTGTTTTTATCAGATTTTAGTAATAATTTGTGTCTGGAACTCTGCACTTTGCTATGGCCCAAGGGCTAATCCATAAAGTAAACTCAATAAAATAAAGTACAAAATCTCACATAATACAAAGCTTAATATAATAAAAAAAAAATACCGTTATTTTACAGAAACTCTTTTTTAATTTCTATAATTTTAGTTGTAAACTGTATTTTACCGATGAGTGAATGCAATGCAGCCCATTAATCTATTAATTCATTTGTGATCTTTCAGATATTCAGAATCCTACTCAGCTGTCTGCTCAGTAGCCACTAAAAAAGCTACTCAGTAGTTTATTCTTTTTCAGTTTAATTAAGATTCTTGATATTTGCATTAACAAGGCAACCACATGTTAAACAAAGGCTGTCATAAGAACATTCTCAGTTACCTGCTAATACAGTAGAAAGCTATGAGCCTGAATAAATCAGCAAAACTTATTCCAGAGCCTTCTAAGGAAAAAGCTGAAAAGTAAAAGAAAACAGGTTCAATTGCACAATATATGATCTGAAAAATACAGCAAAACATGCTTCCTATGTAGGAATAAAACTGCAATTCATAAGCTATTGTTTGTTAATAAAGACTTTTATCATAGTCAGCATTTCTTTTCCAAAATTCTTCAATTGTTTTTGCCTAAAAATAGCAAAAAATAGGAAATATTTTTAAAATGGTACATACTAACAATTGAGCTACAAACAATCCAAGAATCCTAATTTGAAATGTTTAAAACTCACTGTCTATATTGGAGGCTATTTGTCATGATGGAATCCACCAAAATAACAAAGCTCAACTCCTGAGATGCTCCTACCTCTTGGCACAGCACAGAAGTGTGTTTGGCCACTGCTTTCTTGTGTGATTTTATTTTACTTTCCAGTCTAATACACAGCTCTGGAAATTCCTCATGGTCTCTCATTCTATTAACAATCGGGCCCTTTTTATTCACATGTATTAATTTTGAGATGAATCCATTCAGTTGTTTTACTGACCCCTGCTGCACAGATTAACAATATTCCTTCACAAATCATAATCAATCAGCTGATGAATCTTCTATTCATTATGTTCAGCCACGGAAAGACAATATTGTAAACTACTTACTATAGATGCTTTCTTTTATTGCAAACTCTTTAAGGCAAAATCCCTTTACATCATTTGGTAGGCGTAAAGACAGGACTTTCTTCTGCATTCTTGACGACTTTCTAACAAGGAAAGTCTATTAAAAAACAAATAAGAAAAAACAAAGCTTTAAATAGACTTAGTAGCCATGTTTTCAAGAATTTCATATTATGAACCTGCTTTGTCTCATCTTACATACAAGTAAACTTGTAGGACTTCCAACAGAGGTACTAATAACTTGAGAATCCAAAATAAGCTACAAAACTTAATACTTATTGATATTTTTAATTACCCAGAACCTGTAAATGGCAAAAAATATTGCCAAACTTTGTTCGTAATGTTTACTCATTTGATCTTGTAATATGCAGACATCAGATTTTTAAAATTGTTCGGGCCAAGAGTTAATATTAATTCCATGTTAACACATAAGGACAAACATCAAACAACGCAAGTGCTACTCCAGTTAGCCAATAAAATAATTTTAATAATTGCTCTCAGAACAATAACCTCTTTCCCATCTCTTTCTTTTTGAGAAAGATTTGATACCATAATGACAGAATAAATGCACACATGTACAAATACAAAGTACCTACCAGAATCTTATGTTAAGTCACCAGCTAAAATTGTCTAGTAGGGTAAAGGATGAAGAAAGATTTCTAAGAGAATTGTTGCTAGTGAGAGTAGGCAGCACTGGCTAGGAGAGTCACATAGCTGCCCTCATCTAAAGCAGATTCATAATGTGTATGAATATTAGAGTTACACAAATACAAGCAATCACACACACTTTTCTCTCCTGACTGGCATCTAGCCACTATTCATATACATTAGTGATATAAAATGACACTATGAAGGAAGTTATGATGTACATGTATTGGTAGAGTGCTTAAGGAGTTTGCCTGGAATTGGGGGTTCGAGATGTCCTACAACCATGGAACTTTTGGGTTACTTTAGCCAGTCACTGTCTCTCAGCCCAACCTATTGGAACAGAAAGTGCTATGAATTTTTGGAGAAAAGGTGGGATATAAATTTAAGAAGCTAAAAAGTGAATTCAGAATAGGAGAGAATGGACAGGGGTCTGATTCTAAAAGCAAGGCAATGCCCCAGCAAAGTATTCCTCTTGTTTACAAGGCCAAATTAAAGTTGTTTCTTACTCCAGGAGGTTGAGAGCGTAGAATTTCCACTGCTTCAGCATCATTTAAGCCAAGCTGTAACCAGATAGGGTGGGTATGAAGAAGTTTATCTAGTATGCTGAGCTTATTGGGGAGACTATCATATCCAGAATCTCGTATGATATTTGCAAAATCTTTCTGATCCGGGCACACATCACCCATATCTTTCTCTAGGCTAAAACAACAGAAACAAACAAAAAACAAAACAAATTAAAAGCCTAAATTTAAATTATTCAAAAATAATCTGTGCTTTGTAAAACAACTTCAACAATGTATCTTGTTCATAGATAAATAAAAATAAATAAATATTAATATGTGTTTGCATTCATTTTCAGCTGTATTTTATTGTAGGTGACCCTGACAGCAACTCTGTAAGTTGATGTAAATTGTAAACTGTAAAACAAACAAGCCAAATCAGTAAACAAGCCAGTCCATCAGCAAATGGATTGGGCTACAAATGGAAATAGAAAAGGAAGTAATTACTTCTACTTCTTGAATACCCCTGAAGTGTTTTCAACAAAATTTCTAAGATCTGTACTAGCAGCTTTCAGAGGGATTGCCAATGGCCTTCTGAGACTAGACACAGGGATGGCAACTGATGTTAAAAACTGAGGTTAGGATATGGCAACTGATGTTAAATTACAGGCTCCAGTTCTTTCACTGGAGACTACTATTAATCATGATCGAGGGCTGCCCTTTGAGCTAGAACAATGTCATAAAACAAAAACTAATGACTAATGGATTATGACCAGAATCACTACAAACCTTGGGCTATGACTCCTAAACATACAGTCGTCCAAATATTTAATCACATTGAATTTCAGGTGGAAGTAAATACAGAAATAGGATTTGGGTGATTTTTTTGGCAAATGGCCAACTATCTCTCTTTATTGACATTTCCCAAACTAAGGAAAGCTTTCTTTTGGGCATAATATTTTGCCTTTAGCATTATTACAGGGAAGATACTCTAAAATCACATTTGAGAAATGCATTTGCTTGTGTGGAACTAGAAATGTTGAAATAGTCCAGTATGTGTTACTTTATTGTACCATCTATAGCCGTGATATTGAACCTATGGCACGCAGAGCCATCTCTCCGGGCATGCCAACCGTCACCCGTTGCTCTTCCGGGTTTTGGTCTTTGCGTGCATGGGCACACCGGAAACCAGAAGAGCAGCTCCCTGGTGTACATGCACACACCGGGAAGCTGAGCTCCCAGTTTCTGGAACGCGCATGCACACCGGCCAGCTGGTCTTCGTGCACGCATGCGTGCACGCATGCGCGCATGTGCACACCGGAAACAGGAAGACCAGCTTCCCGGTGCATGCATGCGCGCTGGGGAACTGCTCTTCCGGTTTCCGGCACTCCTCTGTGTGCATACCAGGGAGTTGCTCTTCCTGTTTCTGGCGCTCCCCTGCACACACGCTCCTGGTTTAGCACTTGCTCCCGGTTCGCCAACATTGATCTATAGAGATATAGACAATACTTATATCCTGCCTCTTTTACATCAGGACCCTGAGTGACCTGACATACTTACATGTTCATCCTTTTTTTCAGACTGTAATCCCAGATAGTAGCAAAATACTGTGCAGCAGCCATGAATATTAGGTGCCAATTGATGAAAGGTCAATAAGAACTTTAATATACTTTTATTTCAACAATTATAATTGATTGTACTTTTCTATTTTTCTGGGTTTTTTAGCTGTTTTCATTTATACTTCAGTATACCTTAGCTGTAATCAAGATTCATTCATCTAGTCGTGTTATAGCTCCATCTGCAGATAGGAAGCAGTATATCCCTGGGCATGTACGCAGCTCTGAAAAATAATTACATGTCTTCAGCTAAATATGCTTAATTGTTTCCATGTGACCTGACCTATTAAGATGCCCAATTATACCCTTTTATTCAGCCTGTATAGCAAATGACTGAAAGGCTTATACTGTAGCTCCAATTTGTGGCAAGCTCTACATCAGGGGTGTCCAACCTTGGCAACTTCTCCAACTTGGCTGAGGAATTCTGGGAGTTGAAGTCCACAGGTCTCAAAATTGCCAAGGTTGGACACCCCACTTGGCTATATTATCCCAAGAAGCAGCAACTGGATGCCTTAATAATTTCAAAAGCGATTTTTCAATTCAAAATCCCAGAAAGAATCAATAAATGTCAGCCATCAACCAATAACACATTCAGCTTCAAGCAAGAGCCAACTCCACTGAAATGAGCACAAGTGACAGCAATGGGCTTCAAGTGCCTTGAGAGCTGCACCCCCCACACTTTATTTATTTTATTTTATTTTATTGAATTTCTATACCGCCCTACTCCCGAAGGACTCAGGGCGGTGCACAGCCATGAGATAAAACACATAGATATACAAAATTTAAAATCGAATAAAATGAATTAAATAAATTTGGCTGAATTAATACCAATAATTTAAGATACCCATATTTTAAAATACATTAAAAATTTAGAATTTACACTTAAAAGGGAGAAGATTTAGGCGAGGCCAGCTTGATGAAATAAAAGCGTCTTCAACTCGCAGCGGAAGGTGCGCAGATCCGGAATCCTCCGTATCTCTGGGGGGAGCTCATTCCAGATCGTCGGTGCCCCCACAGAGAAGGCTCTCCCCCTAGGGGCCGACAGCCGACATTGTTTGGCCGACGGCACCTGGAGGAGCCCCTCTCTGTGGGAGCGTACTGGTCGGTGGGAGGCTGTTGATGGTAGTAGGCGGTCCCGTAAGTAACCAGGTCCCAAGCCATGGAGCGCTTTAAAGGTGGTAACCAGAACCTTGAAGCGCACCCGGAAGACCACCGGGAGCCAGTGCAGCTCACGCAGGAGAGGTGTTACATGGGAGCTCCATGTTGCTCCCATAACCACCCGCGCGGCCGCACTCTGCGCCAGTTGGAGCCTCCGGGTGCACCTCAAGGGGAGCCCCATGTAGAGAGCATTACAATAGTCCAGACGAGAGGTGACGAGGGCATGAGTGACTGTGCGTAACGAGTCCCGATCTAGAAAGGGACGCAACTGGCGAATCAGGCGAACCTGATGAAAAATCCTCCCGGTCACGGCCGTCAAGTGCTCTTCTAAAGACAGCCGTGAATCCAGGAGGACGCCCAAGTTACGAGCCCTTTCCGTGGGGGCCAATGCTTCGCCCCCAATAGCCAGCGATGGCGCCAGCTGACTATATCGGGACGTCGGAAACCACAGCCACTCGGTCTTGGATGGGTTGAGCCTGAGCCCGTTTCTCCCCATCCAGATCCGTACGGCCTCCAGGCACTGGGACATCACTTCAAGGGCATCGTTGGGGTGGTCCGGGGTGGAGATGTACAGCTGGGTGTCGTCAGCGTACAGATGGTACTTCACCCCGAAACCACGGATGATCTCGCCCAGCGGCTTTACATAAATGTTGAACAGAAGGGGCGAGAGAACCAATCCCTGCGGCACCCCACATATAAGGGGCCTCGGGGTCGATCTCTGCCCCCCTGTCAACACAGACTGCGACCGGTCAGAGAGAAAGGAGGAGAACCACCGTAAGACGGTGCCTCCCACCCCCAACCCTTCCAGCCGGTGCAGCATGATACCATGGTCGATGGTATCAAAAGCCGCTGAGAGGTCTAACAGGACCAGGACAGAGGAACAACCCCTGTCCCAAGCCCTCCAGAGATCATCAACCAACGCGACCAATGCCGTTTCCGTGCTGTACCCAGGCCTGAAGCCCGACTGGAACAGATCTAGATACGACGCTTCCTCCAGGTACTGGGGTAGCTGTCGCGCAACCACACTCTCAACAACCTTCGCAACGAAGCAAAGGTTGGAGACTGGACGATAACTAGCCAATACTGCCGGGTCCAGGGAAGGCTTCTTGAGGAGAGGCCTTACCACCGCCTCTTTCAAGGCGGCGGGAAAGACACCCTCACCCAACAAAGCATTTATAATCCCCTGGAGCCAGCCTCGCGTCACCTCCGGGAAGCCAGCACTAACCAGGAGGGACACGGGTCCAACAAACATGTGGTCGCGTTCAATCTACCCAGAATCCTGTCCACGTCATCTGGGGTCACAGGATCAAACTCATCCCAGATAACAGTCTCAAGACCTGTCTCCGTCACCCTCGCTGGATCTAACCCGTCAGAGTCCAGACCTGCCCGAATCTGAGTGATTTTGTCATATAGATACTGAACAAAATCCTCGGCTCTTCCCTCCAAGGGGTCCTCCCGCGCTTCCTGGTGGAGCAGGGAGCGGGTCACCCTAAACAGGGTGGCCGGGCGATTATCTGATGACGCAATAAGAGCAGTAAAATGAGTACATTTTGCTGCTTTTATCGCCACTAGGTAACTCCTAATATGAGATCTTACCAGTGTTCGGTCAGATTCAGAAAGACTAGCCCTCCAACAGCTCTCTAGGCGTCTTTTCCGGTGCTTCATCTCCCTCAGCTCCTCGGTGAACCAAGGAGCCAGGCGAGATCGGCGCCGGGTCAGAGGCCGCAAAGGCACGACTCGATCCAGGGCTCCAGCAGCCGCCCTATCCCAGGCGGCCACTAGGTCCCCAGATGAGGCGTGAGCCAGAACCTCCGGGATTGGCCCAAGCTCCATCTGGAACCTATCAGGTTCCATCAGGCGCCTGGGCGGTACCATCTTACCGGTTCCGCCTCCCTGCGGCGGGGTGCTGCGGTTCGAAGGTCAAGGCGAAGGAGCGAGTGATCTGACCATGACAAGGGCTCGATGACTATATCCCCTATCTCGAGATCATTCAACCACTGTCCAGAGACAAAAACCAAGTCCAGTGTGTTTCCCCCAGTGTGCGTAGGGCCATGAATTAGTTGGGTCAGGTCCATGGCCGTCATGGAAGCCATGAACTCCCGAGCCACCTCAGACGCCTCACCCACGGATGGCAGGTTGAAATCCCCCATGACCATAAGTCTGGGGGTATCAACCGCCACCGCGGCAATAACGTTGAGTAGCTCGGGCAGGGCTGCCGCCATGTGGCAGGGAGCCAGGTACGTGATCAGCAAACCCATCTGAACCCCGTGGCCCCACATCACAAGGAGGGACTCACAACCAGCTGTCTGAGGTACAGTGGTCTCCCTCGGCTTAAGGCCTTCTCTAATAATAACCGCTACTCCCCCGCCCCTCCCCTGTGACCTTGGCTGATGGAATGCGTGGAAACCTGGTGGGCACATTTCTA